CTGACCATGACTTGGTAATCTGATTCTGATCTCTAATACACTTCATTTCCATTTCTTGCCCCAGTCCAAATACCAGTCCATATTTCCCATTCCATCCTGAATACCAGACTTTTAAGCTCCTGATTGCTTGATAGAAAGGTTCTGATTCTGCATCAGTCCAAACCCAGGCTGTCCCTAGCATAATGATTTTCTGGAAAGAGGAACTACCCTCAAGAAATGCTAATTTTCCATTCCTTCTACAAGATGAGCCTCCCAAGTAGAAACATAGGTGGCACTAAGCTGAGCTTCTAAAGTACTGACTACACACTCTCCCTCTTTTCCTATCCAGTGCTGGTGATTGAACCCAGGGCAAACATTCTTACCACTGAGCTGCACGCTCAGCCCTGTTTCTAATCTTCTGACATTAAGATGAACATCTCTGTGGCTCAGTATTCCGGCATATCTGTGATTAGTTTCTGATGGTAAATTCTTAGATAAGCCCTGGTTTTTAAAAACTAAACATTTTGAGTCTTTGAATACTGCTGTTTCCTTATAAGAACATTCCTTCCACCTATTGCAGTTTCCAGTGGAAAGTCTTGGTGCACAAGGTGCTACTGTGTCCTCACCAGGTTCACAAAGTAAAATAGGTCAGCCTGGGGGACAAATATTTTTTTTGAGGGGTAGTTATTTATTTGAGACAAAGTCTTGCTAGGTATCAGAGGCTGGCCTCAAACTCACAGTGATCTTCCTCTCTTAGCCTCCCAAAGCTAGGATTACAGTGTGTGCCACCACACCCAACTCTGGGACAGATTTAACATGAACTATGATAGGCTAATTAACTGTGATAGGCTAATTAACACATTGTCTCAGTTTGTAGGAAGAAATGGAACTGTCAGGCAAATTAGGTATTGCTAGAGGCTGGTCACCACATGGGAAGACAAAATATTCTGAGGTCTAAAATAAAATAGAATAATAAAATAAAAAGTATCCCAAGGTTGGTCAGCAGACATAGACTCTAAACAAGGAGTCAGCAGATCTTTAAAGCTGGGGCGCTCTCTGCCAGGACAGCTTGAGATTGTCTCATTCAGCTTGCACATACTCTGAGTAAAGGACCAAAGTAAGGTTTCTGGGGCACAGGATTCTCTCCCTTAGACGTAGCTTGAACAGGCACAGCGAAAATTTTCCTCTGTGATCATTTACCCTCATTCGCTCACTGACTGCTCCTGAGGAGGGTGGGTTCCCTCTTGTGGTATATAAGGTTTTTTAAATTTAGATGAATTAGTACGTGGAGTTTAGTAATGTCATGTCTTAGAGATAGAGAGCCATTCTGACTTTGTAAGGCTTGAGCTCGCATTTCTGTTTCAGTTCAGGGTTTCTAGTGCAGTGGTCTGAGTCTCAGACCTTCTTCGGTTTGGGATGCTAACGGACTATCTCCAGTGTCTCTCCCTTGTCTGTCTTCACACTTTCCCACTGTACAGAGTACACTTGCTTACCCGTGTGTGCATCATGTGTGTGTGCGTGTGTGTAAAAATACATTTAGCTATTAGGATAACTTTGTAGTGTTTTTTGTTGACAGAAGTTAGTTTGTGAGTTCACAGTCTCAGGCATATTCTGGCACTGTTCATAAGTTTGTTATTTCAACCAGCAATTCCTTTGAGATTCTTACTGAATTGGGTAATTATTTAATTATTATATGTTTTGTTGATTTGGTTGAGAATATCATGTGGATTTATGATTATTTCATCTTTCCCATAAATAGTTTTATTTTTAAAATTTTATCTTTTCCCAAAATTATAATAGAAGAGAAAAAATTTTTAACTATATCACCATTGGAAATAGTGACACTTTCCTAGGAAACAAGTGGTGAGACCAGACCTGCAAATATTTATTTCAACATAGCAAAAATTCAGAAGTTTAACTTTATCTTTTACTGTCATTACTTGATTGCCTTTTGTTCTGCCACTATCATCAGCTATAGTAACTATTTCCTTTGAGACACTCGGCTCTCCAAAACTCAGGAGACACTCAGCTCCCAGTACTTTCCACACTCTGAGCTAGCATCTTGCGTGTTGGGAGTGTAGACTAAGGGCGTACAGCATCTGCCCAGCATCGCAAAACCCTGGGTTTGCGCTCCAGCAACACAGACAGAAAAGAGTTTTTAAAAGTACTTAAATGCTTTGTGTGTAATAGTCTCTATCATTTAAGGTAAGAGAAGAGGATCTGTTGACATTTTTTATGAGACTTGTAGAGAAAGATTGTAAGACTTTTTCATTTAGATTATTCGCTAAGGGAACACCAGACTTACATCAATTAAGTTAAAAGTCATATGGTTGCAAATGGGACCCTCCACACAGATAAAACTACCATACTGCTTTAATCCCTTCCAGTGGATACATGTCCCAGTGGGCCGTGAGTGACCCTTTCGTTGAGTGAAACTAAAGGTTTCAGCCATTAGCTTTTTGTGCTGTTTTCTCTGTTATAAGACACAAAAATAGTGTGTTTATTGGACCAAGAAGTCTTGGGAAAAAGCAAAAAAGTTCAGGAAAAGGGGAAGTATAGAAGAAACAAAATGCTATAAGAGAAATACAAAACAAAATGTTACATAATAATTACTCTGGAGTTTATATTAGAATAATTAGAAATGGTTTAGCCCAGCAACAATATTAAGCAACTTGTTAGTAGTACTATTAAAGTATCTGGCGCGACTCAGTTTTCAATTTTTTCATTTTGGAATTATTTAGAAAATAGTAAATATGACTGAAAATATTTTAGTCTTGTTAATGTTTTATTGTATAATAGATTAGAATTAAATAACTGCTGGTTCCCTAGAAATAATTTTATTTTAGGGAAAAAATGTGGAACAAAATTTCGTAACGAAATAATAGGAGAATAACAATAGTTAATACATTATATATTGTTATCTTTAAAGTCATTATTAAGGGTACAAGATATGGGCATTAAAATTTCTCCAATTGGTATTAGACCAAACCTTTCTTTTCAGTGAATTAAAGAGACATTCACAGTACAAGTGACTTGCATTTAAAAATAATTTGTTACATCTGTGAACAAAATTCTTTTTTTAAAATTATGTTTAGGGGCTGGGGATTTAGCTCAGTGGCATAAACGCCTGCCTGGCAAGCATGAGGTTGTGAGTTCAATCCCTGGTGCCACAAAAAATAAATAAATAAATAAATACAATAAAATTATGTTTATTGGTACAATTTAGGTACACATAAGGATCACATTCATCATAGAGAATTTGTACCTGTACATAACACAGTTTGATTTTTTTTCCCCCATTCCCTAGCCTCCCTTCTACCTTTCTTCCCAAAATTCTTTTCTATAGTATGTATTTCAGATCTGGTAACAGAAACATATGCCTAGCATGGAATAGGTGAGTGATTGAATTAGTTGGGATCGCTCTAACTAAAGGTAAATAGAATAGAGCAGCCCTGATAAAGGAGACGTGCCAATATTGCCTATTTTATTTGTTTTGTAGTTTATACAGTGTTAGCATCACTGTGTACAACTTGCTGTTGTGATGTGGTCTTTTTCCCCTCACATTTAAGAGGGAGAAACTGTTGACATTTCTTTTATGAGACTTGTAGGGGAAAAAATTAAAAGACTTTTTCATTTAGATCATGTATGTTAAATATATATATATATATATATATATATATATATGTATATGTATATGTATATATGTAGCACCAGAGAATTTTTAAATTCCAGAACTGAGCCAGCCATGGTGGTACACTCATGTAATCCCAGCGCTGGGGAGGCTGAGGCAGGAGGGTCATTGCAAGGTCAAGACCAGCCTAGGCTACAAAGTGAGCTCAAGGCCAGCCTGAACACATAGTGAGACCCTGTCTCAAAAAAACCAGTAAATAAATAAATAAATAAATTCCAAAACTATTGAACCTCATGAACAAAACAATTTTGAATAAGCTTTTGGTTTTTCTTGTGTCTATGTTTAAATTACAAAATAAGAGATGCCAATGAGTAACATGATTCTCCTTGTCTTAAAAGGTGAGTTTTTGGGGCTGGGGATTTAGCTCAGTGGGGGCTGGGGATTTAGCTCAGCCACATAAGCGTCTGCCTTGCAAGCAGGCAGTCGTGAGTTTGATCCCTGGTACAGATAAAAACGAAAAAAAAGACCAAAAAAAAAGGTGAGTTTTTTCCATTCTAAAAATAGGTATTAGTAGTTGTTGGTTTGAAAATTTGTGATAGTGGGAGAGAGACCACCAGCATTAGCAGTTTGGCATATTCTACAGAGTGTTGAACAAACTTTTTTTTTTTTTTTTTTTGTCTTTTTCCTTTTTATCAGTACCAGGGATCGAATTCACGACCGCCCGCTTGCAAGGCAGGCAGCCATGCCGCTGAGCTAAATCCCCAGCCATGTTGAACAAACTTTATGTACAAGTTTTATCTTGCTTTTTTAAAATTCCTTTTCACATTCTTTGTTATAAATCTGCCAGCATTTTTAGCGACTGCCCAACATTTTTAGTTAGATTGCCTTAATTTATATTTTAAAAATTATAATTGAGTACATATATTCCTTTAAATAGTGCTTAGATTATACTATGAATTAGTATAACTTATGAAAACATTAGTGTAGCTTAATGAGAAGACAGCATTTTCCTACAAGTAGGAAAAGTATACTGCCTTACCTTGTGTAGTCAGTACAGCTGAGCTGCTGCAAAACTACATTGAAAAGTCATCCTTCTTATTACCAGAGTTTCACTTAGTCAGATAGGTTCTCTGGACTGCTTTACAGTTTTTATATTAAAGCCCGTAGGGAAGACGCCAGACACACTGTCTTTCAAAGAATGATGTCACCGCTTTGTACACATTCTCAACGGAAGTAACTGCCAGCCTGTGTGATGTTGGGCGCGTGTCCAGAAAATAAACCCAACTGTTTGTGATAGGGTGTGGTTTATTCTTAGGGCTCTAAACCATCTTCAGTATATTTTAATTTGTTATTTATTATTATTTGTACATCCTTAAAATAATTATTTTAGGTCCACTGGCTATTCAGAGGTGATAGTTGTTGTTGGAGGCTGTGAACGAGTTGGAGGATTTAATCTTCCATACACGGAGTGCTATGATCCTGTAACAGGAGAATGGAAGTCTCTGGCCAAGCTTCCAGAATTCACCAAATCAGAGTATGCGGTATGCGCCCTAAGAAATGACATTCTTGTCTCAGGTAAATTAAAGAATTACTACAGTAGCTGCTTTTGACTTGGACACAGCGTGGCTGTTTTAAACAACAGGGGTGTCTTAAAAGAAAACAGTGAAATATGAATATGCTCCCTAATTAAGGCAAATCAGTTTATACCACAAATAGAACTGAGAATGACTTTTTACTCTTAAAAACAGGTACAAGTTCATGCAGAATGGTCCACCAGAAAATGCTTTTAATCTTACCATGTTTTAAAAGCTCCCAAATGTATTTAAAATGATATAATGCTTTAAACTTGTATCTCTTTGTTTTAAAGATTACTGTAAGTATGCAAAGTCCGAGGCACTCACAGTCTTAAGCATCTCTAATTTACACATTTTCTGAAATTCTTCCCATAGTTTATCCCATAGTTTATGAAATAGGATAGTCTCTATAAAATTTTCAATTTTGACTATGCGCAATTTTGCTTCTAAAGTCAGATAAAAATACAATTTCAAACTTACATAATGTGTAAGCGTAGTATGTATGCTTGAAACTGTTAATTGGCAAAATAAATTTACCAGCTTTGCAGATTATTATATTACTATCTTCTAAAAGATACAGCAACACATACCTCATTTTGTCATAGTATGGTTTTTAAAAGTTATTTAGAATAACTGTGTTGTTTCAGGTCTTCTGATTGATATCTGACACCTAAATTAAAAGTATCTTATTTGTAAAGTTCATGTTTTGTTTTTTATTATTTCATGCCTTTAATCATTACTTCTCAAGATAGGCATTGTTTAAATCTGCTCTGAGAACCATTTCCACTAAGCTGTAAAAGGGCCCTCGTTGATCTATTGAACTGAATTCTTAAATTCTTAAATGAGCTTCCTAATGCCATGTTTTCATTACCTGTGTGTGGGTGGTGAGACCCCTTGGTGATAGATACCTAGTGATGTGTCATTGCATGTGTATTGTTTTGCATTTAAGGTGGAAGAATCAATAGCCGTGATGTCTGGATCTATAACTCACAGTTAAATTTTTGGATCAGAGTCGCCTCTCTGAATAAAGGCAGGTGGCGTCACAAAATGGCGGTACTCCTTGGTAAAGTAAGAGAAACCATCTTTTATTACTATTGCTGGTAGATTGCCAAAGTAAATACCACAGCTAAATCCTGCGTTTCACTTTTCCTCCGGATATTTTGGATTCAAGTTGTGCTTCTCTTCATCCCCAACCTCAGTGGATAAACTGAAGATATAAACAGTATGACTCTGTACTTTTGAATGGGTATTTTGTTCTCACTCTGGAATTGATGGCAGTGCAGCACATTTCTTTTCTGGTGTACCATTGGAGTGCAGATGCCTAAGGGGAACAGGAAAAGAGTTGTACCAAATAAAACACAGGCCCACGTCCCATCCAGGGCATTATATTCTTCATTTAACTGCCCTTGGCAGGCAGGCAGATATGTTTTTCTAAAGTGTCGTCATTTTATCTTTTTAAAATTTCATAAATAGGGACAAAACAAATTTAAGATCAACATTAACAGTCATCAGCATTTTAAAGAAAATGTATTATTGATTGCAGCAAATTAATATTAAAATTCATATAATTTGAGTTCTGTCGTCCCTATTTACCTGAGAATCATCTAGGACTAGTGGTTACCCAACTTTTAAAAAGCATATTAGACCCTCTTTTAAAAGTTAGATCTAGGACTGGGGATATAGCTCAGCAGCACAGCACCTGCTTGGCAAGCACAAGGTCCTGAGTTCAATTCCCAGTCCCAAAAAAGAGAAGTTAAACATAATATAAAAATCCGCTGTACTAAACCGCTATACAGCAGTTGGCCAAGGGTACCTCCGTTGCTGGCCTCTCCCTGCTGTCACCTCTTTCAGCTCTTAGAGACACCACAACTCGCAGAACAATTTGAGTGAAACAGTTGACGGAATATATACATGTTTGATTGGCTCCCTGGCACCCCTTTCTAAAAAGATTGCTGTGTCTTAGACTCTACTGTGAGACATTTCAGAGCTAGTAATGAAAAGAAGAACTTTGCCACTTTCCACTTAGCTGTCATCAGTCTTCCTCCCCTTAAATCTGAAAAATACTAAGAGCTTCTAAAAACAGCTTCAAAGCTGTTGATTCGTAGAGACCTTGATCTCATAGTCTGCATCTGTCAGCAAGGCCAGTGAAATCATGAGGACCCTGAGATAGGTGTGCTGGAAACAGAATAGTAGTAGGATCTTTCCTGAAGCCATTAGTGTGTCCATACCTGCTGTGGTAGGTATAGTTTGGTGATTGTCCCTCAAGAATGACAAGGTATTACTGGAAAAGAATAACTAAAGTCATAAGAGATGCGGCCCAACTAAACATATTTTACTTGTGATTTTTTAACCTGGATAAATAAAAGCAAACAAAAATGATTATGCCTTGGACCAAGGATTTAGCTCAGTGACACAGCACCTGCCTGGCAAGCATGAGGTCTTGAGTTCGAGTCCTACCAAAAAAAAAAAGCAGACTATGCCTCAAAAACCATTACATATTGATGAACTCAAATTGTTTCACAAATACTAGTATATTAAAAGTACCCAAAGGTTGGAAGCATTAAATCAAGAAATAAAAAGGAATTTTTCCTGTTATACAGCAAGTACTCAGTGGAAACCAAAAATTATGATATACTTTGAATGCAAATGTATAAAATTATTTATAAATAGTTCTTGTAAAGAAACCTAAGATGAGGGTCAGGGATTTGGCTCAGTAGCATAAGTGCCTGCCTGGCAAGCGCGAGGTCATGAGTTCAATCCTCGGTACCAAAAAAAAAAGAAACCTAATATGAAGTGTAGACTCTTACAGCAGGAAGCAGTTGCAGGCAATCTTTATTATAATTTTTCAAATGATAAAGGAATGGCACCCCAAAAGCCTTGCCCAGTTACACATAAAGTGATAAAGCAGTAGTGAACACTCAGTATTTCTTAATCTGGATTTTTTTATCTTGATCCTCACAGCATAAATTTTCAATTACATATGTAGGAGTTTTAATTTCTGAAATTATATTGTGTAGCTGGTCGTGGTAACACACACCTGTAATCCCAGCGCATGGAGGCTGAGGCAGAAGGGTCACTGTGAGTGTGAGGCCAACCTGAACATAAGAGTTTAAGGCCAGACTGAACTACAAAGTGAGACCCTCTGTCAAAAAACAATTGTGTAAAAGGAACTGTTACTCTGGATTTTAATTGAAGAAATGAATACCCAGTCTCTGCTACTGCACTGTGTGATAGAGCCAGGTACTGACCGGCTGTCCTGACCTCCAAGCCCATGCCCCCACTACCGCCGTGTACCGCTGGCACCTTGTCTTAAATAGCTGCATGACCTTTTATAAACTACTAAATTTACCTCAGTTGCTTGGAGTTAGGGGCACTAATCCACCAACAGATTGTTTTGATTAACAATAGGTGACAATTGCAGGATAAACATAGCTGGACATGGTGCCTGTAATCCACATACTTAGGAGGCTGAAGCAGGAGGGTTGTACATTTGAGACTGGCCGACTTACAATCTTGTCTCACAATAAAAAAAAACAACAACAACAATAGGTGCTTGGAGGTAGCTCAGTGTTTGCCTAGCAAGTGTGAATCTCTAGTACTACCAAAAGACCCCCCAAAAATTTAGAAGGAATTCATAAAGAGTTTCAGGAGGATATATCTGTGACTTAAAGAGCATGTGAGTGAACGCCAAGAGGTCATGTAGGGTAAGTGATGTGCACCCCGAGTCAGGGCGGTAGCAGAGGGTTAGATAGGAGAGATGCTGGAGGAGAAGACAGCAGTTCACTGTGGAGGGAAGGATTGATTGATGGCAGCTGTTCATTAAAAGGAATGTGGGGGCTGGGGATTTAGCTCAGCAGCATAAGCACCTGCTTTGCAAGCAGGCAGTCATGAGTTCGATCCCTGGTACCGATTTAAAAAAAAAAAAAAAAAAAAAAAAAAAAAAGGAATGCGGAAAAAAAAAAAGGGAATGCGGATATTCAGCTGGAGAACTTTTTTAGATTAAAAGTTTCTTACATATTCCATCAGGCATAATGGTTATTCTACAGATAAGCCACTTAATAAATAGTTTATTCATTGGCTCACTTATACAAAGATACTAACTTACCCCACCTTCCTCTTACTTATAAAAAGAAAATGTATGTGAAAGCTCTCTGAGATGTAAACCATAAAGTTCATTACTTTTCTAGGTACTGTAGGAGATAGAAGGCAGCCCCTGGCTTCAGTGATCTCGGGATCTAATAACCCTTGCCTAATATTTTAGTTTCATAGTTTTATTATTTTACAATTATAAAATGCTTCATCCCCTATGAGTGTGAACACTCGAGCTAAATCATGCAATTTCTAGAAGGATGATGGAGAAAGATTCTTGAGGGGCCGAAAAAGTACTGTGTAAAGCACTGATGCACATACAGTTAGGATAAACAAATTTCAGCAGAATCTCGGTATTGAAAGGTCATTGAAAGGGTGCTCTTAGGAACAAAAAGGCCCCGTGGTAGTATGAGTAGGGAAACCTGAACTGAATATATTGCAACTATACTTACCAGGAGCTTTTTTTGGTACATGTTTATAGCACATAATGATCACATTCCTTGTAGAGAGTTCATACATGTGCACGGTGTATCACAAGAAGGACTTTTTAAGAGTAAGAAAGCCCTAAGCTGTTTAACCAACTTGTTCAAAATTTAGACCTTTCGTAAGGTATTTTTCATGTACTTTCACATAGGTATATGTTGTTGGGGGCTACGATGGGCAGAACAGACTCAGCAGTGTAGAGTGTTACGATTCCTTCTCAAACCGGTGGACTGAAGTTGCTCCCCTTAAGGAGGCAGTGAGCTCCCCTGCTGTGACCAGCTGTGTGGGAAAGTTGTTTGTGATTGGTGGAGGACCTGACGATAACACTTGTTCTGATAAGGTGAGCCACGTTCTCTGTAAGGAACTACCAACCCTATATGAAAACAGGGAAAGAGAAGGTTTGTGGAGTGTGTAGTTAGGTCACTTAGTGTGAAGGCATCTTCTAAAAATAGACTAGTACCTTATTTTGAGGAAAAGCATTGACTTTTGAGTTACTGAGAGTCAAATAGATCTAATAATTTGCTGTAACAAATGGGATTAAAGTTCTTTGAAATGAGACTAATCTAAACTTGTAAACTTCACTGCTGTCATCTACAGAATCTAAACAACACAGCTGGGAAGTGAGTATAAGGCACAGTAACTAACACCTGCTCCAACTGGGTTGTTTCTGCATACTTTCAGTGTTTTTAAGAGTGAGGAAACCCCCATAGAGTAAATAAAGGATGGCTCAAAGTGGGTGCAATTCATTGACCTCCTGGGACAAAAGAAAATGCACCATGTTTTTTCTGGGGAAAACCACCTAATTGGTTCAGTAATGTTAAGTGAATTTGGTTGGTCAGTTATTTTCCTAAGTTAAATTTTAACATCAAGGGGCTGGGGATTTAGCTCAGTGGCATAAGCACCTGCCTTGCAAGCAGGCGGTCATGAGTTTGATCCCCGGTACCAATAAAAAAAAAAATTAACATCAAATGGTCAAATATTACTTACTTGAGTTTGTGATCACCCAAAGTACACAGAGCAGGAGTGGTGGCACATACCTGTATTCCCAACACTTAGCATGCTGGGACAGGAGGATTGCCACAAGTTCGAAGCCAGCCTGGGCTACATAGTGAGTTAGTTCAAGGCTAGCCTGGATGACATAGCAAGACCCTATGTCAGAAAACAAAATGAAATACACAGAATTGAAGTTTACTTGTGTTCTTCTGAAGAAACAACTTCCTAGAAGTTGTAAAGAAATTTTACTCATTTATAGTTATCCTACCCAACACAATTTTTTAAAAATTTAGACCATTTTACTCCTTAACCTCAGCACTTGGGAGACTAAGACTGCCAAATTATGAGCTTAAGGAAAGCCTGGCTCTACATAATGAAAACCTGTTTTTAAAAATGCGACTGTGTATTTTAGTGGAAATAAGTAAAGTAGACTCGATAGTTATCCATCGTGGAAACAGTCTATTGTTGTTATTCTTTTCTGCTTGGTAGTAAATTTGCATGTCTTTTGAGAATTTTCATAATTCATACCTTTTACAATCAGATTAATTCTCAGGGAATTAATGTTAATGGGAGCTGATGTTTAATCACATGTCTGTGTAAATTTTTTTTACTAAATTTATGTATTTGTTTATCAATTTTAATTAAATGTTTCTGTGTATCACTAGGTTCAGTCTTATAATCCAGAAACCAATTCTTGGCTCCTTCGTGCAGCTATCCCAATTGCCAAGAGGTGTATAACAGCTGTGTCCTTAAACAATCTGATCTATGTTGCTGGTGGGCTGACCAAAGCAATATATTGTTACGATCCGGTGGAGGACTACTGGATGCATGTACAGAATACCTTCAGCCGACAGGTAACTGCATAACAGTTGGGGTGGGGGGATCTTAAGAGAGACCAAGTGCATGATCAGTATTGGTTTCACCTTTTAAATACTGTGGATATTGGATTGCTCATTACTTCTTTTTTGCCATTCCAAGGGGAAGTAGCATTGCATTTGACTGCTGCTGTTTTTTCTCTTAACCTGTTTCAGAGTCCAGGTTGTTGTTCTTTCCTATTTCAGAAGAGAAGATATGTTCCCAAAACAGTTGTTTCTCGGGTTGGAGGCTAGGTCGTTGGCTTTTGACATGACATGGTTGTGCTGAGGTCGCTGCCATTTACACACTCCACCTAGAGCCCCACTTCCCTCACTCCCACCATTCCCAAAACCCCTTTTCTTTGATCTTTTGGCTCCTGGCGGTGCTGTCCTTCCAGCACTGGAGTGCTGATTCCAATGCTGGGTATCTGGCGTCATCCAGACCTCTGTAATGATGACATGGTATCATAGTAATCTCTTCAGCCTCTTACTTTTTTTTCCTAATTCTTAACTATGAATGTTGCTTGAGCCTCATTCCCTGATCTCTTCCTGGTTCATACTGTATTCTTGAATGATTTCATCTTCTGCTTAGTCTTGACCTGCAAGCCTGCAAGTCTTGACCGCCATCCAAGTCTCTCTCCTCTGACCCAAACTCCAATTCCAGCTGCCTGCGTGGTATTTTCCATGGATGTCGGAAGGCTTCAGACTTAAGATAATAGAATCATCTTCTCCCATGTCTTTTTCCTATTGCCAAACAACCTAGAAACTTACTAGTGTTTTCCTCATTTTCTCTCAAATTGAATTCTAGCTTATTTAGTTCAGTATCCTTAATTTCTATTTTTTCCATTCTTAGTATACCTACTTTTACACATATTCTTACCTAAACAAAACAATAATATTCTAATTAGTCTTCCTTTCTCTAATGCTTTACTTTTCTAGAATTATTTTCTAAATACTTTTGTCACCAATTATTTTCCATCAGATCTAGTCATCTCTCTCTCTGGATTGGGAACCTGCTGAACAAAATCCAAAAGTATTACTTCATTCAAGACCTTCAGTTTTTTTAACCTTTATCCCTTTCAGCGTGTCTTTCTATGACTTTTCCCTGGTTACATTAAATATGTGTTATGTGCATTCTCTAAATAGATCATAGATGTTTTGGTCTTGGTTAATGCAGTACTCTTAAGCCTCTGCTGCTTTTTTTCTTTTTCTGCTTGTAATTCTACTAATCTTTTAAGAATCACTTCATATTAAACCATAATCTTCAGGTGAAAAAAAAAAAAAAAGAATCACTTCATAGTTTCAAAAAATTGAGATTACCTTGGCTAGAACTGATCTCTTTTTATCCCTTTGCAGCTGTGGAACTCGTATTTCCATTATGGCAATCACATATGCCTTTATGGGTATAAATACTTTCCATACTGGAATTCAGCTTTCCTTAGGTCACCATTTGTTCTAACTCCTCTCTTGACATATCTTGCATTGCTCAGTAAATACTAAGACTTAAGGAAATGAAGTAACTAAGGGACCTAGTTTTAAGATAATTTTAATCTCTATCATCCTCTAAATCCCCTTTCCTCATTTTTGTGTTTGTCAGTACTAAATTTATCTCAGGTGTATGACCTGTAACGATTAGTTTTATCCAGTAGACATAATTTCTTGACATGAAAAATTGTTTTTAAGGTTGCTTGCTTCATTGAATTCTAAACATTATTATCTGAAATATTAATAGTCATATTTTATAATTATACATTCTTTTAGTTAGAATATTCTCAAAATAACTACAAGGGTTAGTAGTAGGAAATAGCTTGTGCCTAGAAATTAATGGTACTTTGTTGTTTTTGTTGTGTTCAGAACTTTTAAATTACAGAATTCATTGTGCTTTAGGTGAAAATTTTTGTGGTTTTTGCCCATAATTGTGGCAGTTCATGAATGGGATTATGGATGAAAATGACATTCACTAATTATAATAAGCCACATCATTTTGATATATATAATCTCTAATAGAGACATGTTTAAGCACTCACTAATTCTTTCAGACCTAAAGAAGTATCCTGTTATATAAGTCTACCAAGATTTAATTTCTACGTCTATATATAGCATATTTGGCCAAGTAAAAATGTTCATTGAAACCACTGGTTAGACAGGTTTGTTAGTTGTGTGAGAGCAGGATGGTGTCAGGAAGTAAACCAGCACAGCACGGTGGGCACACCTATAACCCTGCATGGCGATCATAGCCTCAAGGCCAGCACGGGTAACGTGTGAGACTTGTCTCACGGTAAGGAGGAGCTAGCGCTGCAGCTCAGTGATGGAATACTTGCCAAGCACGCACAAAGGCCTGGGTTCAATCCCCAGTACCACAAAAATACTTGTTTCATGTAATAATTATATTACTGAAACACAAGAGTAAAATTTAGCTAAAAATCCCATTACATGGAAGGGGAAGTTAACTATAAAACATTTGGGGCGTTTTTGTGCCCCAGCCAAGACCTCTACATAACAACAATGTTTTGTTGATTTGATGAGAACTCCTCCATCCTACTTGTCGCTCATCCTCTGCAATGAGGAATGGTGCTGCTCTTCCACCCCGTGGTAGTTTCTGTCTATAGTAAAGAACTGTCTACAGGCGGAGAAGCCAGCCAGGCTCCTGAGAGGCTTTTGCTGAATCGCCATTGAGTCAGCACCTTCCTGTCAGGTTCTCAAACCCACCTGCCTTCCACCACTTGGCCCCTGTTACTAACAAAGTTCATTTCAGTGCTCACTTGATGCAGGCAGAATTATCTGGCACCCGCACACAGGACAGGAGTGGGCTAGGATGTTAGCTGTGTCGCGCCCCCTCCCATGTTAAAACACCTCTTTTTTACTTTCCAGCTTGTTGCCTTTATCTTCAGCAGTTAATTTGTTGATGTATTTGGTTAAACAGGAAAACTGTGGTATGTCTGTGTGCAATGGTAAAATATATATCCTGGGTGGAAGACGGGAAAATGGAGAGGCCACAGACACTATTCTCTGTTACGACCCTGCAACAAGTATCATCACAGGTGTGGCTGCCATGCCCAGGCCCGTGTCCTACCATGGCTGTGTGACCATTCACAGATACAGTGAGAAGTGCTTTAAGCTCTAACACCAGGCTGCCTCACCCAGGAGCCGCGTCAAGCCAGGAAGAGAGGCTTGGAACCTCCAAGTGGGAATGTCCTCCTTCGGGCCCTATACAAAAGCGGTAAAAAGAATGATCCTGGTGCCTTTCTCCCAGAAATACCGGCCTTGTAAACTGTAATGAAGCTTTTCTATTCATTAAAAAATGTTCCTTGTTAAGGGTAATAGCGGTTGCTTGGCGTTTGCGAGTGTACCCTTGTAAATATTTATAAGAAGCGCGAGTGGACTGGAAAACAGTGTCCACGTTACTGTTTAGGACTCTGAAAGGACTCCTCACACTGTATGTATCTTTGGCTATAAGACTGTACACCCCTGATTTTATCCTGTGTAGAGAAAATTGCATGGTCGAGGCTTCTATTAGGTCAACTCATCTAATGCTAAAAACATTTAGATTGCATTCTGATAGGAAGAAAATCAGTTTTAAAAATCTTTGTTACTGACCTAGAATATCCAAATTGGTTAATTTGATTGAAGGATTTTTCCTGTAATTGATAAAAATGTTAAAATGATGACAGTTTGAGTACCATGAAAATACTGAATTATTGTGACTTCATTCTTATATTTGCTGTCTTACACAAAACATATTTTTGTGGGGAAGGTAGGAGATACAAAAGTAAATGCCCATAAAAGAGGGATTAAAAATGCAGATTAAATAATGCAGATTAATTCCTAAGAAAAAGTAAGTAACTATTGAAGAGAAAACTGTGGCCTCCAGTGATTTTCCAAGCAGCAGTACATCAAAATAAGTCCTCTAAGGAAGCCGCATTCCTTGGACCTCACAAGGGAGTTGAAGCATTTTGCAATGTGGTCTTGTGGAAAGCAGTGAGGAGTTCCTCCCCAGCCCAGCAGGCTTCAACAGGCTTCAGCAGGCTTCAGCAGGCTTCGCAGTGCTCTGGGTGGAGACTCTTCCCTGTTACTGCTGTCTTGTGAAGGCTGAACGTTCTGAGAATCTCTGTTTTTAGGGTGCCTTTCAGAGGCCAAACCAGGGACCACATATCTTAGTGGGTCCATTTTTCTTTTACATTTAGCTATCTGGAAAGAAAGAACAGTCACTGCAGTCTTCTGAGATACCTCTTTCCTTTGGTACCCATTGTGTAAAATATTGATCAGCGTTTTCAAGTTTCCATAAGACGACAAACTGCTTTTTTTATGTTTCTCAACTCCAGTTTATAAAGCTTACCAGTTTCCAGAAAAGAATATAGGGTTTTTTCTAAGGCAGATAAATGGCTATGGAAGGAACTGCAGCGTAAGCAATTATTAGGAGTCCTGGGTGGATGGGTATACCTCCTGCCTCCCACCTCCCAGGGCCATGGGAGGTAGCTTGCCGCATTCACTTGGAATCCCTGTCCCCCTTCACATTGTAACGGTATGTGCTGTGTCACGGTCGGGAGGCAGATATCCAATCACAGTTTCCTGTTACAAGCAAGGTAGTCATCAAAAACCTAACGCTGCTAAACTTTTTTCTCCTCACCTTAGAAATTTCAGATTGAGAAATTTTAATGCTTAGCTAGAATCCAAATTCTGAAGAAAGCTCTAAAAACTGTATCTTTAGGGCATTTTAAATCATAATTTTAAAACGATATATAACTGTGATAACTATCAAAGCAATTCAGAAAACAGGTATCTGTCATTTATTTGAAAACCAGTTGTTCCTACAATTGACTTGCATTTTTATAGTAAACATCTGCATTATACTTTTGTAAATAAACCTATTTAGTTCAGAAATTCTTTATACTAGATGACATAATGTATGAAAAACTGTTCTGTAAATGCTTGGGATTATACAAATGATACTTGTTATTTTCATGTGTATTTGTAAGGTTATGTTCATCCATATATACAGATACTTCACATAAAAGGGCTTTCTCAAGATAATTTCGTATCCTAGTATTTTTGTCTATTATAAAAATATTAATTGATGTATTTTGTTATATTTTTCATATCCATGTTTTTTGTAAATTTGAAGTGAAACTAAAAACCAGAATTTGTTTGAACATAAACCTCATACCAATATTGTTTAATTCTTTTTCTCTACATAAATTAGTTGTAATTTATGTTAAAGATCACCAAGGAATCATCTTGACTACTAGAAAATTGTTTTTAAAGTTTCCAAATGATATTTTAACTTCAGTTAAAGATCCTTTACTAATTCCTGATAATTAATGCTATTTTCCTTGAGACAGAACCTTAGGTTATGTGAAGAAGGATATGCCAACCAGAGTGCTGTCAGGTGATGTTCATTCATTCTGTCACCCCCATAGTTGAAAGACTTTCTTTTAACAGGTGATGTTCACAGGAGCCCTTGGGTTAGTATACATGTATATGTATATGTAGATAGATGGTATGGTTGTATACACACATATATACAAACATCAAGGATTTTTGCAGTGTGATGATCAGAAAACTTTGATCATCTTAAATGCAGTTCCAAAATTTTTAACTGGGAATTTCTACAGTACGTTTATATTTGAAAGTACAAAATGAGATGGATATGGTGGCATATGCCAGAATTCCCAGCACTTGGGAGGCCGAGGCATGAGGATTGCTATGCATTTGAGGCCAGCCTGAACAACATAGCAAGGGCCTGTCTCAACAACAGCAAAAAGTGGAAGACTAGTGTTAATAACAATAACTTTTACACTATCAGAATCTCTATAGCTCACCAGTTTTACAAGGTCAGAAAACAAATCAGCCGAATAGCTGTTTGCTGACCCAACTATGATGCCTCAGTGAGAAAGGATTTTCGGAGTTGCTTTACAGATCAGTGGGAAGTCCAGTCGATGTGTGCTTCATGAACTTTAATCCTTCCTATGTCCTCCACTACGCGAGTGAGTGACAGAGTCATCTGACTGCTGCCTCTTCTGTGACGTTGCCACTGATTTCACTGCGCAGGTGTGAAATGGTAGCTCGTGGGACGTGCAGTGACCATTTTTTCCTAGCTGACTGAAATACAGGTATTTACTGCATTTAAACCAGGTTAAGAAAAGATGATGTAAGTACTCAGGGAGGGTCTTCATTTGTCACTTTCGCCTGTTTGGGGTGTTTAAAGTGCTAACTTTCGGTTGATAATTTTAGAGTAAATTTAATTTGGTAAAGGGGCGTTGCACACAGCTGTCATTGGACATTCTTTTGTACCTAGAAAGATGAAAATGTTTTGTGAACCGATGCATTTTCTCTTGGTGACTATGAATGCTCTGTCTGTCAGATAACCCTTTTTCAAACTCAGGAAGACAAAGGTTCAATTATACCACTTTTGTCCGTATGCAAGCCAGGTGTGTGTTTCTTTTTTCCTGTTACCTGGATATGGCAATGGATTTTTAAAAAATACTGTGAGAACCTGTACATGACAGGAGAGGGGTTGAGCTGCTTGTGTCTGCCTTGTATGTCTTGACATTTACATGTGGAAAAGACATCTCCAGACTGTTTTCAAAAAGGAGAGCTTGCTATTTATACGGTGCCAAGTGATAAGATGCTGTCTTCTAAGGCTTCCTATGGACTGCCTTTATTTTAGTAAACTCAAGAAAATAGTTTCAACACAACTTTGGCCTTATTAGAATCCGTTGTGCACTATGTTGAAAGCCAGGTTTACTTCGCCTCACCCTATTATCTTTTTAGGTAAATAGACCGTACCAAGGCCCCAGGCTCGTCAGTTGGGTTGACCTGTGGAGCAGGAGGTCTGATGAGCTAGCTGCCCTAGCATTAGTCACCTCTAATGCTTAGGCACCGGAAGCCACTTGAGCCAGGAGTGTGAACTGATAATTCCAGTGCCGTTTCAACATATGCTAAACATTTTTAAATGTTTTATATGAGTGTTTTACATTTGTGTGATTGCCTTAGATAGTGAATTTACATAGTACTAAGGACGATCCTCATAAATAATTTTTTAAAAGTTGTAAATTATTTTATATTTCTTTTCCAAAGAAAAGAATTTCTGTTTTAGTTTTTTCAAAATAACTGCAGCTGCGTTTATGTGCCTTAAGTTACCAGGGCTATTTTAAGATCTCAATCTAAATAAATATAACGTTAGATAAGTTTCATATTTGTTTCCTTTAGAGACAATAAACTTCCCTTCCTAAGTGTTCTAATGAGTACTAACTTTCTTGGCAGAATGAGAATGTTCAGAGAGGCTATTGGGTGCTTGGAGTTCTCTTTTTCATTTTTACTCTTTGATACCCAGGTGCTCTTTTTAAATATTCAGGTGGGCCAGGGATTTAGCTCAGTGGCATAAGTGCCTGCCTGGCAAGTGTGAGGTCATGAGTTCGATCCCCGGTACCAAAAAATAAATAAAATATTCAGGTAACCTTGACCTTAAATTGAGTAAACCCTTATAAAAGCCATTTGCAGTACTCCATGTGATGCTGAAGAAGTGTATCTGCTTGCTTCCAGTCCATTCTTACGTGCCATTTTCTGGCTTCCTGCATAGGCTCTTTCTTTAACTTTCTTGAAAAGACATTTATTCTTTTTTTCCTCACCCCTCCCTGCAGTGTATTTAAACTTCTCTTGAGAGGTTCCTGAGCTATCTAAGGCAACCCAGCTTTACAGTCGAACAAAAGTATAATCTGCATCTAGTACGGACCTTTGGTAGCAAAGCGTCATTTGCTTTCCGTACGAGGCTCCAGAGTCCTCACAGTGAAGAAAACCTTTAAAAAGCTGGTTTCATCATTCTCAGTTCAATTGTAGCACAATCATCCATCTTGTTTAAATACTGCATAGTGTAAATTTATGTAAGTTGTTAACTAATAGAAAGTTTTTAACCATTATTACTTGACTGTATGGTTGTATTAAATTTTATTTACCAAAAATACATTGTTCTGTCTTCACTTAAATATACCTAAGTAGTTGTACAAAAAAAGAAGCCAGGAGAAAATCCATACGTGGTGTATGTGTGCTGTTCTGGGTGTGACTGTGAAATTACAGGAAGGATAAACAGGAGACTAGAAACCTGGGCGTCAGGAGGAAGAGAAGCAGTGGCCGAGAAGCAGATTCACTGAGGTTCCTGTGGGGTCCCTGGCTGGTGGTGCTGAGGAGGAAGAGGCAGGTGTTCAGGGACAGGGAAAGTGCAAGGACCACCTCTTCCCAAGGTTCTGGCCCTTCCCCACAGCCCCCGGGCCTCCTGACAATACCACTGGCCCACCCTAGGCTGGGGAGCCCTGGGCTCCAGAGGAGTAATGAACCCGCACAAGTGAAATGGGCCAGTGACCACAGACTGAGAGGGACACCCGCTCCCAGGACAGCTCCCAGCATCCTCACTGCCTGCTGCCCCTTCTGAGCCCCTGCTCTAAGAGTGGCTGTGCTGCCCTCTCGGGTGTTTATCTCTTCATTCTCCCAGGTCTTGGAAGGGATCAGTGCTGGTCCAGGAGTGGGCTAGGTCTCACCAGAGTGGATGGTTCCCTGTGCCTGCCATGGTGCCATCGCCACGTCGTGAGTTGGGCAGAAGGGGCTTCAGAAGAGAGCAGATGCCCATGCTGTGCTCGCAGAACTAAGCTGAGCAACACACTTTTTGTATCAAATACCCTAATACAGCAATATGAAGCAGCTACGGTAGGTAGCAGGAAATTAACTGCTTGTGTACTTAGGAATAAAATCAGCCTTTCAGTCTGAACTACATGAAGAGATTAACTGTTCCAGAATTTTTTAATCACAGAATCCCGGCGTGGTGTTGCACACCTGTAATCCCTGAGAGGCTGAGGCGGGAGGGTCACAGTAAGTTTGAGGGCTAACCTGAATTACAGGGCATCTCGAAAAAACAAAAGATTTTAATTACAGAGAAAAATTCCCAACACTTGCACTCCACTGTTTTTTAAATTTGGTTCTTTGGGGGAGGGGTAGAAGTCAGAGTCTTGCTGTGTAGTCAGACTGGCCTCAAACACTAATCCACCTGCTCCATCCTGCCTTAGCCTCCCAGGTGTTGGTATCACAGGCGTGAACCACCACCTGGCTTGAATTTGGTTCTTGAAAGTTCCATTAAAGTAACATCCAGGCTCAAGGCTGAATATTTTAAATAAATTTGGAGGGAAAAAGCAAAAAACATAGTGTTATTTACTAGAGAGTCAGTGTCACTCCTTGCTGGGGAGGCATATGTTTGTTTACCTTTTTATGCTTAGTTTTAGAATTCTACCATCAAAGTAAAATAGCAAGTTAAAAGTGCTTTTAAATAGCTAGGCATGGGGCAGACACCTGTAACCCCAGTATTTGGGAGGCTGAGGCAGGAGAAGCAGCAAATTCGAGACCAGCTAGAACTGCATAGTGAGACCCTGTCTCAGAAAAAAAAAAAAAGCTTTTAAATAGTGTTAAAGTTATCTTCATTTGATTTAATTCTCACATTGCTACATTATGAAGTGCACAGCTTTCCTACCAGGCTTGGTTCCTACCGTGCCGGCCACAGGGCCATTTGCCTGAGTCTTATTTCCCTCCGGAAGTACAGCACCAACACCCAGCAGCAGCTTTTAGGAGAGAAGGGAAGGCAACATACACTCCAGTAAAAGAACGGATGCAGGAGAGCTGCAGGAAAATGTGACTACTTTAGAACACGGCATTTGTGCAGAAAAGGAAAAAATTAAAAGTATACAACAAGCAGAGCAGTGCATAGATGTAATCCCAACACTGGGAAGCTGAGGCAGGAGGATAGTAGGTTCCAGCCCGCCCTGGGCAGATCTGTCTCAAAATATAAAACAGGTGGGGCTGAGGCCCTCAGTCGGATCCCTGGCATTGGGGCACCGAGTGGATACATTAGTTTACCTTTGGAAAACTGTAACAGTGAGTAGATAGAAACCTCAGGTGTTTTAATTTAAATGTTCTCTTAAAAACAATCACTTGCTCAATGGAACGCAGGGGAAATAGGCCATACCTGTCTTCAACTTCACCACGATTTATTCACTGGTCATAGAAACAATCGGAAGGGACAGTTTCCTAATTGTGTTGGGATCTTTGAAGACCAGCGTGTAGACTTGTATGTCTGGGGAGGGGGCTTGCCGGCTAGCTGGGAGCACTGCCTCCCCAGGGCGGGCCAGTTCCTAGACACAGCTGAACTGATCGGTGGTGAGCCTGCACTTTACATACAAATCAACAAAGCCACATTCATGCTCCCACCTCCTCTTTATCTGACTGTTAAGCCTTGATCACCATTCCCCTATACTAACTCATCCCAGGGTCCAGACAAGCAGGGGAACCCCATACAGACTGCAGCCTACATGTTCTCTCTGCTACTTTCTGCCTCCTAACTGCCACAGTGGCACTCTTGTGGCCCTGTGTGGACAAGCTGTCAGTCATAGGAAACTGAATAGTTTTTGTTGTTTTAACTTTGTATTCTGGGAATTGAATGTAGGGCTTGGGGCATGCTAACCCCGCACTTAAACAGAGCTATATCCTCAGCCTCCAGAACTTTCTCCTATTGTTTGTTTCGGAGATGGAAGGCCTTCCTGTGTGGCCCAGGCTGGCCTTGAACTCCTGCCTCAGCCTCTGGGTTGCGGGGCCTACAGGTACACAGCAGCTGTGGCTGCTGCGTGGAGAGTCACCTCCATGAGCTTTGGGATCTTCCTGGGGGGTTGGTGGTATGGCCTGACTACAAAGTGAGACCCTGTTTCAAAAAAAAAAAAAAAAAACTGTGATCCAAATTAAATCTCTTCTAAGTTGTGGGTGTCAGGTATTGCACCCCAGAAACAAATGACCTTGCCTAGAACTGTTTTTCAATAGCATTCGTTGAAGAGCGTTGAAGCTGAATACATGTGCAGGGCTGTGGCATGGCCTGTGATTGGACTGAGAACAAGGAGATGCCTCAGGGGGCAAGATCAGCCACAGCTGAGGAGACCTTTCTAAGTAGTTTTTCTTAATTAGCATCATCTGTTGCTCTGAGGCGTCCTTGAACCCCTCCCAAGATCCTGCTTAGGTTTCCTCCATTGTCCACTCAGCTCCTTGCTTGTTCTGATTAAATATGAGCTACCCAGCATCAGCCAGCCCCGCTTATAATCTCTGCTGAGGATTTTACTCGTGCAGCCTGTCTCACTCCTTTTTTTTTTTTTTTTTTTTTTTGTCTTTTTCCTTTTTATCGGTACTGGGGACCGAACTCACAACTACCTGCTTGCAAGGCAGGTGCTTATGCCACTGAGCTAAATCCCCAGCCCCCATGTCTCACTTCTTTGAGCCTTCCCCATGCACCCATTTGGTGGATTGGAGGTCTAGACAGACCTCAACAGCATTGATCTCTTCATCTTGTCACTCAGTGACTTTATAAATTAAGTAATTGGCTCATTTTTGTATTATAAAGCATTCTCTGGCCAGGCATAGTGGTGCACATGTGTAATCCCAGCACTTGGGAGGCTGAAGCAGGAGAATCTCCACAAGTTCCAGGCCAGCCTGAACTACATAGTAAGACCTTGTCTCAAAAAATAAGTAAATAAAACCACACTCTTCATAGTGGAGCTTAATGTTAGTAAGCAGAAGCAGCATCCATTTTGTTGTTTATGCATTTTAAAAATAGACTTTAGACAGGACCTTTGAGTCATAGTTTGATAAGCATAATAGTCCACACATACTAGAGTGCAAAACAAATCTTTGAACCCTCTATTCTGAGTAAATGTGATGAATCATCTAAAAAGGGAAGGGGGAACTGGATTTTTAAAGATTACATTTAGTTGTCTAACACATGGCACATTGTGGCATGATCAGAAGAGAGGACAGACAGGCTTTGTAGCAATGTGGTGCCAGCAGGTGAGTAAACAGCGAAGGGACCCAGGAAGCACCCAACCCTTCGGGCCCAAAAGCTTCCATGGAAACGGGCCTGGCTCACTTGCAACTACAAACAGGCCAAGCAGCCAGCTGCTGGCTCTGGAATCCCTTTGTGTGAACTGAGGCCACACCCCCGGCAGCTCCTAGCCAATGAGCGCCAGGCTTCTAGGCCCCCTCTGTGCCTGGGAGATGGGCCTCTTCCGATGGGCAGAACTGAAGGTTCCCCTTGTGATCATGCAACCTTCGTGGAACCACATGCAATGCAGGATACTTCTGCCCCAACTTTGATTTTTTGTGACTTGTTTTTGGGCTCTAATGCCCCTCTTCCGACCTTTGGCTGTCTTTCTTCATGTTTTCTCTCATGGGGTATTTTTTTTTTTTGCATGCTTTTATTAAAATTTTTCCATGTTTAATCCATCTTGCCATCTACATCTCACACAAGACTAGCTCATGCAGGAACCTAAAAACATATATAGCCCTTACGATTTAGCGCCCTAATAATAAAACCTGTGCATGTGTGCACACGTGTGTGTGTGTGAGACTAAGGATCTTGAAGCCTTTACACTGCTTTTTTTTTTTTTTTTTTTTTTTTTTTTTTTTTTTGCCTTTTTGAGACAGGGTCTCTCTATGCAGTTCAGGCTGGCCTTGAGCTCACTTTGTAGCCTATGCTCATCTTGAACTCCAAACCATCCTCCTGCCTCGGCCTCCTGAGTGCTGGGATTACAGGAGTGAACCACCATGCCTGGCTTCCCCAACCCTTTTTAATTTTATAGTTTGAGATAAGGTCAATTTCCCAGGCTGGACTCAAACTTGCAATCTTCCTGCTTCAGCCTCCCAGAGTACTTGGATCACAAGTATGCCCCACCACAACTTGCCTGAACCTGGGTTTTGAAAATCCCAGTTGTTACACTTAGATGAGGCTTAGTGGCAACACAATGTGAAAACAGGTTTTGAAGTTAGAACTGTGCTCAAATGACAGCTTCAAATGCTGCTGGGTCCCTGAGTAAGATACTTAATTTCTCAAGCCTTGGTTTCCTCTCCTGCTTCTCAGCCTCATCACAGGCATTCAGTCAGAAGG